AAATTATGATGAATGCATGGTGTCATGAGAGGGAAACATCTCTTGCATTCTTATTTATTGTTATTGTTGTAAGCCGCCCTGAGGCTTCGGCAAATGGGGCGGCATAAAAATGTTTTAATAAATAAATAAATTTATTTTTGACAGCTTATTGTAGTTTGCCTGAGGGTTTTAACAATAAAAGAACCATGCCCCCTTCCCAATTAGACAAGACATAGCCCTCTGTTTCTAAGGTCCCTTCCCTCGACCCCTTCCCTTTTAGCCACTGGCGGGTGAAGTTCTGTGTCCTACATTTAATCTTGCTTTCTTCTCTATCAATTTGCCTATTACAGCATTATTTTTTTTAAAAAGAAAAAGTTCAAAAAAGCAAATGAGAGGGGAAAAAAGTGGAATTTGCAATGCAAGGAAAAAACAATAAGCCAAAATAAAACAGCATCGTGCAGTTCATCTCCCTGTCATATCGTGCAAGTCAGCCCAGGCATTCCCTGCAACCAGCTGACGGGGGATCTAGGGTCACCAAAGGAAGGACTTCTTCATACAATACAGAGTTAACTCACTGAAGTTAAAGTGTGTCAGCAGCAGCTACTATCAGTGGCCTGAAAATGGGGCTAGACAAGACAAAGGAGGGCAGGTGTATTAATGGATATGATGATGTGACTGAAGTCTAAATGGTTCCAGCCTAGTTCAATTCCAGGTTCCCCTGAATTCATGTGGCCTGGATGAGGTAGGTGGACACCGAGCGGGCAACTCTTGCACTTGGCCAGCTTCTGCTGAAAACATGCAGGATTCTTGGTCCGATCCAGCAGAGTTCTGCGGGATACCAGTCCAGAGACTGATGGGGCAATTATCCAGACAGGAATGCAATCTCCTTGCCAAATTGGTACTCTGCCCTTTCCTCCAAGGACTTCACGGCCACAGACAGGCATTCTCTCATTTTAGCCTGGGTCCAATGTCAGACTAACTTAGCTCCAGCCTGCTCCAGGGGTGGGGGACTTTAGGCCTGGCATCTAATTCCCAATCTGACCCTTTGGGTTCTTGGATGAACATTCCCCCTGTGCCATCCTCTTTCCCCCAGTTACTGAGCATTTCATGGCTTTTGTGCATCAGCCCCATTCTAAAAGGTCGCAACATCCCTTCTTAGTCGCAGGAAGCACTTTAAGTTGAAATACGCTGGTATTTCTCACTCTGCCCTTTGCTTTTGCCTTGCCCACCAGTGGAATGTAACCCCTGAGAGCATCTCCAGAATTTAATTCAGCCACAAAAGAAGTGCCTTCCCACTGCTGGTCTACTTAAATAAGACTAGCATTACATAGAACCAGTTACTCCTTATCAACCCTGCAAAGGTAGCTTAAGCTGAGACATGGTAACTAGTCCAAGGAGGTCACCCAGGGAGCTTCATGGGATTCGAAGCCACGTGACCTCCCTTGCCCAAACCCACTCACTTTTCCCACCCCAAGCTTCCTCATATGGGGCTCTATGTTGCCAGTCCAGAACTAGAAAGTTGCAGCTGGGGGCAGAGGGTGGGAATCAGAATGGAAGAGGAAGCTTCTTCTGAAAATGGGCCATGTCCTCATATGAAGAAAGCATGAAGGTGCTGCTAAATGCAAAATGGGAGACAGGAGAGGGAGGAGAGTTTTGGGCCCAACTGAGCACATCCATCTGATCTCACACTCTCTTTAGTCCCTCTCCCCGATTCCCCCATGTGCTCTACTGAACATGTGCCATTCAGCAGGGGAGGGAGGAAAAGAAATAGTACAGCCTCATTTCATTTGCTAGATGTTTAGACCAAGTAGCCTGATGACACACATCCACCCAGGTGCAAGCAAAATTGTGGCTGGAAGAATGGGAGAAAGGGGCCGCTGATCATCATTCAACCCCCATGCTTCCAGAGGGCTTCTAACCTCCAGCCAGCCTTGCTGTACATTGAGACTCTGAAAGGACTTTTGAAGACCTTTCCTGAAGTGAGAAGTATCCGGATCGCAGTGTGAATCCTACTTGGTTCATTTTTGATTGGAGCCATGGAAATGTGCCAAGCATCTAGTCAAGTGGCAGAAGTCACTGGATTTCGAAGTCACTAGGAACGGAGAATGCACCCTGTGTATTCCCTCTATCTGAAGTGCATGAATGTGGGTACAGTTTATTTCTTAAACTCCCTGCCAATGCTTTTGAGAATCTGTTCCTTGGGGAAGTGCTTGGAAGGTTGCTTCCCAAGGGACATCTCCCAGCTTATCTCTGTTCTAGGATTTTTTCCTTCCTCCTAGACTTTTGGAAATGTTTCCCTTCTCCAGTAGCTAATCACCTCATAGCTCAGGTGGCTTTTGAATGCATGGAGAATGAGGGACAAGAAAGAAGCGCCAACAGAAATTACTTGTCTCCACAAAGAGGAGCTTAAAGGCATGTTGCATGACAAACAGCAGAATATATTTCCCCTGGTTGTGTCTCCAAAAGAAAATTTGACACCTTCATCACCCAAGGGCCAGAAACTTAGAGAAAGGAAGGTAACAAGAAAGAGGAACTGCTTGTGGGTTCCAGAAATTGCAATCACTCCAACCAGTGGGGACATCTGTTGCTCACCTTGAATGATTTGGAAGTGAGGAAAAACTCTTGTCTTTCGGGGAACCACACAGAATTGGCAAAGGAGAGGAGAAGGGAGACCAAAGAAGAATATACCTGTTATGGAAATGAAGGCATTCCTAAGGTTTTGGAAGAGAGTGGAAGGTGAAAGCTCCATAACCTAACTAAGGATTGTAACCAATGTAAGTTCTACTTAGAGTAGAACCATGAGAATGTGTGAAACTTAAGTTAGACTCACACTGGTAACATTAGAATAGTTCCCCTGTTATTATGTGGTAGGATTCCAAATGACAAAGCAGCCCTGCAAGTCAGTGTGTTTAGGTTGGCAACCTAGATTAAACTCTTGATTCTGTATACTATAACTTATGTAACTTATACCTTGGAATAAAATAATGGAAATCAAATACATGGGCAGATGGTGCAGGGAGGAAACATCTACTGGCCCTCGCTTAAAGCACAAACCCTGAATAGGCACAGAGAAAAAGAAGCATCCTCAAACTTACAGCTGATTTGTCCTATCGAAATCAGTGGGACTGCTTGGAGAAAGCGGACTGTGAATGATGGTTAATGGAGACCAAGAGCATCTCCCCTATGAAGGGGTGCAGTGCAGTCCCATGAGTGTTTACTCTGAAGGAATCCCATTTTATTTACTGGAGACTATTTCCAAATAATCTTGAATAAGTAATTGCAGCCTGCCCACAGGAAGAAGGGAGACACAATACCAAAGGATGCGGAAAGAAAAAGAGAGAGAAAACCTGGAAGTAGTGAGTGCTTACGTAATTAATATTCATTCAATACACTTCTGTACTGCCTGATGGCCTGCTACCTGGGCAATTCACAAAAATTAAGATGTAAAATACAAGGAGGCAATTTAATATAAAACCTACATCCACTCCTTATGTATTATAAAGAGAGTGTAATCTTATTAAGCATCCAGAGAAACCTCTTGTGACTTCAACAAAAGAATTTCAAACTGGTTTTCTGATATACCAATCCGGGTGACTCTACGAAATACTGTGGGCATTTAATGTTTGGATTTAATTTTTGATCACAAAAGTATGTGCTATTCATGACACTTCTGAGTTCTAGATGGGCTATAAGTTCAGTGGAGATATACATAAATGCTGGTTTGGTTAATGGATTCTGGGACCTGGACATTATAGAGAGATAGACACCAGCATCTAGCACACATTTTGGGTTGTTTTTTTTTTCAATAATACAGCACTTTTTCCAGCCAACACCTCTTATATCAGCCTTGCCTGACCTGACAGCCTCCAGGTGTGTTGACTACAGCTCCTCCCTCCCTCCAGCCAGCCATGTTGGCGGGGGATGTTGGTAACTGTAGTCCAACAAGTTTTCATCCTGCTGAGACCCACCACTGAGGTGGCTAGGGCCCTGCCAAAGAAAGGCATCCCTCTCTTGCCACCTCTTGGCGTTTCCTGAGCAAATGTTGGGGAACCTGGTTCTTAGTTTGGGGTTTCTTTGTGAATTGTCCAGGCAGCAGAGTGAAGAATGACAGGTGTAGCAGGATAAAACATCTGCAGGGCCACAAATTACCCACTATTGCATTGCGTTGTCTTCTGGGCTCCCGACCAGCCAGTGAGGTTACAGAACAGGTCAAGCCATCTCTGTTGCAGAATCGGCCTCTGCTGGGAGGCGCGTGCTCAAGCTACACGGACCTCTTCGTCAGGGAGAAGCTTAGAACCGGGGCCCTAGAGCGATGGGCTACGCCGAATCTAGCCGAAGAGCGGCTGTCCTGAGGCGGGCCATTGCCCCGCCGAAACGGCTTCCGAGGTGGAGAGCCAAGAAGGCTGCGGAGCTGAGAACGAGCGTTCTCGCTTTGCGTCCGAGAAACGGCGCGGTGCAGCGCAAGAGCGCGATCACCCCCAGGCCAACGCCAACCGCACTCGGCGCGGCTCTCGTTCCTCGCGAGCGGCGGTCGCCGTCGCAGCTGCGGGGCGTCTTCGCGGAGGGGTCAGGCTGCCTCTCCCTGCCTAGGCCCGCTGACACGCTCGAGTCCTGCGCTCGGCAGCGGGCCGCTCCTGACCTGGGCGCCGGCGGCGGCGCTTGTTCCTCCGGTCCCGGAGTTGGAGCAAAGGGGAGGGGAGCCCACGGAGAGGCAGGGAGGAGATTTAAAGCGGTTGCCTCGCGTGGCAGGCGAGCCCGGAGGCGGGAGGAAAAGGAGGAGCCAGCGCAGCGGGAAGGCGAGTGGCTAAAGAGGAGGGGACGAGCGGGGCGCCCAGGTGCGCGCTCAGGAACCGGCGCTCGGCCGAGCACCCCCCCCCCCCCAGAAGGCACTTGCGCAGGAGGAGGAGGAGGCCAACAAGGGGGACCGTGGCCCTGGGAGGGCAGCCCAGTTCGGAGTGGCCAAGTGTCCCGCAGGCGTCCCAGAAGGCTCCTCCGAGGGGGCGGGGGTCCGAACTGCCGAGATGCAGAAGGCCATGGAGAAGTCTCAGAACTTCCGGATCGACGCCCTTCTGGCTGAGGAGCCCCCCCGGCCCGTGCGGAGCGCCTCCCCGGAGAGCCCCGCGGGCAGCCCCGGCGCCTGCGGGAGGACGGAGACGCCCTCTCCCCCGTGCGCGCCCTCGAGCCTGGCTCCTCTGCCGCCCGCCGCCTTCATCCCCAAGCCCGGCTTGCTGAACTTGGCCCCTCCGGGACTGGGCGGCCTGCCAGCCCTCTACCCGCCCCCTCTCTACCCTCTCCCTGCTCTGGCCGGCCAGCACCCGGCTTTCGCTTATGCCGCCGCCTTCCCGCACCTGCCTCAGCCCGGCGCAGAGCACTTGAAGGCAGCCGGCGCCCTTCCGCTGGAGCACTGGATTCGAGCTGGGATCATGGCCCCGCGCTTCCCCGATTTCCACGGTGAGTAAGAGAGCCGAGGCCCGCGCAGAGCCCGCGCGTCCCGCGCGCACGGTTTGGGCACGGTGAGGAGCGGTCCCCGGGGGAGCGGTTTCCACAGCCTTCGATGCGCCCCGGGAAAAGAGAGCCGCCGCCGCCCGACCAGGACGCGTTTCGCCTCTGCCACCCAGTGCCTGCCATTTCTGCGCCTGGGGAACACCTGGCCTCTTTCGAAAACGCCCCTTCGCTGGGAAGGGGACTGGTCAAAATGAAACGAAAATCAAATCCAGGTGAGGGGGCTGATTGCACAAAGAAATGCTGGACCTCGCTGCCACGAGATGTAGCAATGGTAGCTGTTGGCTTCCATGCCTTGGAAAGCCGGGGCGATCAGCCGGGTGACGAAATGCCTCTGAATGCCAGTTTCGCGAAGGCAACGAAAATGCCTCCGTGTCCTGCCTGTGAGTTTCTCAGAAGCTCTCGGCTGACCACAGAGGGAACCAGGATGCTGGGTCGGATCCTGCAGAGCACATGTCTCGTATTCTCTGGCACTGAAAACAACGCTGGGAGACTTGTAGTCCGCAGATATTGCTGCCATCACCATCCTCGCCCTCAGTTCCTTATCTGACTCTCCCTCCAGCTCTTTCCATTTGAGATAGGAGTGTCCACAGGTGGTGCTTTATGGGTATTTTAGATGAGTTATATATATAAAACTCATCTATATCTATATCACTCATATTTATATTTAACTCTCTCTCATATATATTATATATATATATATAATGTGATTTTATATATATATATATATATATATATATATATATAGTAAAGCAGTTTTTTGTGCAATTTATGAATAGTTTAGGATTTGCTGCACACCTGCAGCCCCCTCTTTTTCTTTCTTATTCTTTGGTGCTCTTCCAAGCAAATTTCTGGTAAAGCATATTTATGTCAGCTTCCTGAGACCTGATGCTCAGGCTACAAAGCCCATCACTTCAGACAGCATGGGATGATGGGAATTATAGTCTAACACATCTGGAGGACATTGGATGGGGAAAAGCTGATGTAAACCATCCTTTGCATTGTGTTTTATGCTGAGCAGTTTTATCAGCTGTAAAAACTATTGTGATTTGAAAGCTTGCCATTAAAAACAAACAAATGCAAACCTGGCCAAATGATACCTAGAAATGTGAAACAAATATTTCCCCACAGCCTGCCACATGTTAATTCTTCCAGCTGTAGGAGTGTCATGGGAAAATATTTTTGCACTACTGAAGAGACAGTCCTATGCATGCGTAGACATGGCTGACTTGGAAATTCTGGGAGACACACTTTGTCTAAACATGTGTAGGATTGCACCCTAAATTATTAGGAGAAACTGGGCTTTTAAAGAGGAATTTTCACCCAAAGGGACATTTTAAAACCACATAAAAAGGCATGCTGAATCATAAGTTTAAATAGACAGTTATTTAAATAAAGAAATGTCACAAAGCATGTCTTTCAATAGTAAATAATTGTATTGTAAAGAAAAGGCACTTAAATTTAATTTAAATTTATTTTGTAGTCCAAAACTACAATGTATTTTTACCTGTACAGGGTTGTGGGGGTTTTTGTTTTACAAATTCCTGCTCAGCATAAATCTGTGGAACAGGCTGACTTTGTCCCTGGTCAAAAGAGAATGGAGAACAGCAGGGTAGAGATCATACCAATTCCATTGGCTGGAACAATCCTATTCAGAGTTAGATTTAGCTGTGCCTTATCTCTCTGTTGTCAGACTTATTTCTGTGCCACCCATTAAAAGATTGTGCAAGGACACAAGCGGTGAATGAGTTGCAGTTGCTCTCAGAAACTTTTGTACTATGCCAGAAGTTACCCCACACTGGGTTCCCTGTGGGCAAGAACACTGTCCTGTGTCTGATGTGATCTTTGATCAGTCCCTTTATTGTGTGTTAGGTAGAGTGGCAGATCTTTTCCCTCACCACCCAGTTGGATCTCCAGTTACCCCAGGCTTGGACTTGATAAAAGGTGGTGAGTCTACCCAGAACCAAAATTTCAGCCTTCCTTCAATGATGGCCGTTAAAGCTCTAAGAAGGAAGTCCCAAATAATGGCAGACTTTCTCAGTGCAAAACCTTCCATCCAAGACCTTGAACTCAAAAGGCAGGACTGCTTGGAAAGAGAAACTGTCCCAGCCGGGTACCTGCAGGGGAAATGGTGTTTCTGACTCACAGCTCTATTATATTCTACAAACAACAGTTATAATTAAAGACACTCTGATTTATTTTATGTATGTACTGAGAAACCACAGGATCTTTAGGTAGGTAGGGCTCAGCCTTTAAAATAGCCTGGTTGGCCAGGTCTGCCTCAAATTCCATTGCTGCAGCTCTTAGTCAAAATGGTTTCCAAACTGGGACACCTTTTCTTCCGCTCCTGTGCCTCCATGCTTCCCTCCCTGTTTGTGCACAAGAACTTGAAAGCCTTATATCTCCTCAGAATAAGAGGTCTAATTAAGTGATATAGCACTAAGGTAGCTTAAAACAGGAAGGCAAATGCTAAAACACAGAGTCAAGAGGAGAGCACAAACAGCATTGGAATCCATGTTTGCTTTTTGAAAACTATGAAAACTAGTGACAAGCAGAACTGATAGGGTGGGGAGTCTGGATTTTGAGTTTATGAGGGAAATTCATGGTGGCTGAAGGGGTAATTCCCCCCATACTTTGTACTAAACAATTACCTGGGAGAAACTTTTAAATAGTAACAGCAGGCCAACTATGGAGCCAATGACTTTGACCTGTCCTTTACTGAAGGTCTTCAGGGAGAGGCTGGACAAGCCATCTGTTAGCTTTTCAATATCCAACAGGGGCTGGACTGAATGGACTAGAAGACCCTTCTCCCGAAGTCTTGATTTTTTGAAATGCAATTTTCAGCCTGGCTTTTCTTGGAAACAAATTCCACTGAGTTGGATGGAATTTACTTCCAGGTGAATAGTGATAAGGTGAATGGTTGCATCTATGCTATCTTCCCACTGTTACTACACCCTGATTAAGTAGAAGTGCCTTGGAAAGGAGGTGATTTAAGCCATAGTCTGAAGTATCTTGATTTGGAAGGAAGTGCTAATGAATAGCGGCTGAATCACACAGATGGAAAACTGGAATGCTAGGCTCTACAAAGGGGTACTGTGGCGGATTTTAGAGGGTATGTCTGGACTGCACCAGTTCCCACTTCTGGGACTAAACATTTGGACCAGCATAACTGAATGCAGAGTGTATAACCAGTGTCCTGCCCTGTATATGGGAAAGCTCTATGTCAGAAGGAAGGATTTTAGCCTAGCTTCCTTCTTTGCGTGTGTAAGACACAGTATGTGTTCTAGGAGAGGATCCTGTTATGTGAGTGGCAGTGTCCAAGAGCGTATCCCCACATCTACTGTTTGAAAGAAGGTCAGGTAGAGGTGCTCTTGAATAAAGATGGCAAGCGGCTTGACAAGCGGGCAGTGGACTGGTGTCCCTTCCCTAGTGGCCTTCCTTGGTCCTAGACACATTGTCTTTAGATCTTAACTGTCGCAGACCTATACCAATCTACTAGGAAGTGACTCTCTCCTGCATTCAGTGGGGTTTATTTCCAGGTAAGTGTGTTCTTCAACCTGATCACCTGGTGCCCTCCAGATCTGTGGGATTGCAGCTCCTACCATTCCAAGCCAGCATGGCCATTAGGATTGCAGTCTTGCAGTCTCGGTGCGTGTGTAGGGGCAACTGAAGTCAAGCAGGCAGACACCAAGTTAGCCAACCTAATATTTAGGTGAATGGCAAACTAGCAGAATGGTGCAGAAATGGCTTGGAAACCAAGACAGTGGAAGGGGTTCTGTGGATCCACAGCTATAGCTCCACTTAGCTTAGACCCACTGAAACCAATGACCCCAGTGAATGATTATGAGTAATTAATATACCATTACTAAGACCTATTAAGTCTATAGGAGGGCCAATTTGGTGCAGTGCTTGAAATGCTGGCCTGGGATTCAAGTTTAGTCCGCACTCAGCCATGAAGCTCACTGGGTGAATTAGGGCCACTCACTGCCGCTCAGTTTAAACTACCTCACAGGGTTATTGTTCTGAAGATAAAATGGAGAGGAAGAGAACTGTGTAAGTCACCATGGGTTTCTTGCAAGAGGAAAAAACGGTGGGCTATAAATATAACAGTATTGTTAAAAATTACTGTATCTGGACAGAGCTGTAGTCAACCTAAAAGTTATGTACAGGAGTCACACCAAAGAAATAAGGCGGCAGTTCATCTGGTTTTCAGGCCTTTTAAAGAGGCAATCGCCACCTTTAAAAAAAAATTATTATTATTATTATTCGTGTGTAAAAAAAAAAAAAGTCTGTGGGGCAGAGAAAGCTCAGGGCAGCCCCGCCTCGCGCTGGGCCCCGGCCTGGCGACAAGCCCTCTCTCTCAGGTGCAGCCCCGGCTGGCCCCGGCTCCGTGGCGCTGCTTGCGAGCGCCTTCCTGAGCGCGGGGCTGCGAGCCCGCCGTCCGCCGAGGGGCAGAGGCGCGGGGCGGGGCGTGAAGCCGGCCGGCGCGGGGGCTCCGAGCAGCCGCTTCCCGCGTCCAGCCCCGGAGTCGGCGCGGCTCCCAGCCTCGCCTCGCCTCGCCTCGCCTCGCCCCGCTCCTCCCCGGGAGCGAGATCTGCGCCCGACGACGCCTCGGCCTGCTGCCCCGCAGGCGGCTTTTCCCACATCAATCACTCGCCCCGGGGCAGGGGAAGTTGTAAAAGGTTTTGAACTTTAATCCGCCCCAAGGTCTCTCGGCACTTTCGACGGAGGGTTGCCGCAGTTAATGGGTTACCAGCTGGAGCGAAGGAGAGCGACTGTCTCGATCCGGTCAGCTCGGAGGCATCGGGGAAACAAACGCCCCGGGGGAGGAAGAGGGAAGGCTTTTTGCGTGCGTTTACGTCCAGAATTTATTGAATTGCTGGACTTCCTTTTACGCAGCTGGGTCTTGCAACACAAAATCAAAATTAAGACGCTAAAACAAATCCGCA